GTTGCAAGCGGTGGGTCCGGGGGGGGGGGGGGGGGGGGGTTAAACATGTTAAATTTAAAATGCTAATATCTTATGTGTAATCAAGATATATACCTAATGAGGGACACTTTAGCTTTCAATTTCAAAGTCATTAGCATATCATTTAAGGTAGCAATGTTTAGATCACCCAGCTAGACTATATGCAATGTGAAAGGAAGAATTTAGAGGTGAAAACCAAGGAAACAATAAAATAGAAGAGATCAGGAATGAAAAAGACACTAGTGAAAAGATGTACAAGGAGCTATAGAAATAAGAATGCCAAGAAAGAAGTTGCTTCCTGGAAGCCTGAGAGAAGAAAGAAAGAAGAAACTATTCAGTAGTAGATTCAAATGTTAAATTCAATAGAATACACATTTCAAAAGTTTTTTTCTTGCCTTTTCACAGACAATATTAAATAGAAATAATAATCCTTGCTAAAGTTTATAAACTCTTACTCTAAACCAGATATTTCACATGTATCATCTGTATAACAACTCTGGGAAGTACAGATTATTGTATCTGTTTTCAATATAGTGAAACTGAGGTTCAGGACAGTTAAATAAATTTACAATTTAAATCATAAAACTTACAATTTTTTAACTCAAAATTCTGATCTTAATCACTTAATTTACCTTGGGCTACATTCCTGCCACTTTATGTTATGCCTGCTTCTTACTATCTCAACTAGTGTACCTAAAGTAGGACATAAAACTCATTTTAATAGTTTTCCAAATGAAATACAAGGAGAAAATGTTATCTTCACAAAAGGCATGCTAGGGAACCAGCACTTAGCGTGATGGCTATGTCCCTGGACTCCCACGTAGTCGACCGCGGTTCACGTCCCGGACAGAGTGGCTTAAAACTCACACCGGGCGTGTGTGTGTGTGCGTGCCCAGGATCCTGAGAGGAGAATGGAGAAGGGATTGTGGCGTGACCATCCCCCCTGGGGGGTGATTTCTCGCTTTCTGTCTCTATGTCTCTCTCTGTCTTACGAGCGCACGCGCCCTATAGTGAAAACCTCTCCAAAAACAAAAAAAAAAAGGATGCTATATTCCAATGCCACCACAAAACATATTATGTATGGTCAATTTCTGTATCATTGCCCCCTTTTTGTATAGAGTACTGAGAATTAAATATTACCTCTATTAACCACTTATTTCTCAATTTTCTTACCTTTTTTTGGTAGAGGTTTTTGCCTCAGGGTGTGTGCTCTTTCCTGAGAGAGAGAGACAGACACTATGAGAGGGAAAATGAGAAATCACCCAACCAGGGGGGTTGGCCAAGCCATAATTCCTGCTCCTCCATTCTCCTCCCGGGATCTTGGGCACGCACGCACATCCACCTGACATGAGTTTCAAGCCACTTGGTTCAGGACTTGAACCTTGGTTGGCTATGTAGGAGTCCAGCAGGCTAACCATTATGCCATCTGCTGGTCCCTATTTCTCAATTTTTAATGTTAAATAAAAATATTGTTTCCAGGCCAGCTAGTGATGTGGTGGTTAAAGTGGCTGGATCCCACATGACCAACTAGTGATTCAAGTCCCAGACCTGGCAGCTTGAAAAACATGCTGGGCATGTGTATGTACGTACCTAAAGCCCTGAGAGGAGAATGGAGAAGTGATTGTGGTGTGGCCATCTCCCATGGGGAAGAGATGTGTTTTCCTCATTTTGTCTTCTCTCTCTGTCCCCCTTTGGCAAACACATTTGTCCTGTAGCAAAAATTGAAAAGAAAATTATTTCAGATTTTTAGGGTATATGCAAAATAGAAACGTAAAAACATATGAAACATACAAGTATATGTGTATTCTGTGTATAAGTATCTATAGAGAGAAAATGAATGGCTGAACAGGTAATAAGCATTAAAACTGATGCTTAATTTCTTTGTTGCTATTAATTATACTCTTTATACAGAAGTATAAAGAAAAGATTGTACATTCTAAGAAACATACAAATAACTTATATCCTTTTCCTTTTTTTGTCAACTGATCACTTTAACAGGTTTTTGAATCTGAAAATTCAAGAAGGTGAAGCTCACAATATTTTCTGCCCAGCATATGATTGCTTCCAGCTTGTGCCTGTGGATATCATAGAAAGTGTTGTGTCTAAAGAGATGGACAAACGATATCTGCAATTTGATATTAAGGTATGCTGACTATTATCTGATTTCCATAATTGTAATTTTATTACATCTGTATAACAGGGGCTAGCCAATGTCATGGTGGTTAAGGTGGCTGTATCCCACATGACTGCCTGCACAGATGAAGTCTTCGACCCAGTGGCTTGAAAAATATGCTGGGTCATGTGTGTGTGGTGTGACCATTCCCCATGGAGCATGCTTTCCACTTTCTCTCTCTCCCTCTTTGTTTCTCTCCTGTGAGTACATGTGCTCTCTGGCAAAGATTTTTGTTAAAAAAAAAAAAAAAATCTACGTAATGGATGATGTTATTTAATTCTTTTTGTTTCATTTTTGAAAAATACATAAATGATTGGCTATAACTTATTTCTCAGAAAACTTGGATAAAGAATTGCAACATTTACTAAATCTTTAAACTAAAGCATTATTTTATAATGAGAAGGAAAGTGAAACATTAGAAAAACAATTACTGCTCAGAACTATTTACTAATTTACCTGTTAGACTTTTAAAACTGATGATCAAAATAATGTTCAAAGCAAATAGTACCAACTTTAAGTTTTCTAAGAATACATTATATTTTATACCCCTATATATATATTTAGGAAAACAGATTCTGAACTTGGAAATTACTTTTTGTTCCATGTAATAGGTTGATATAGGGAATTATGTTTATTTCATTTTTATACTTTTTTTTTCATTCAGTAGTTATTCAGAAGTATGTACCAGGTTCTTTTTTGTGTGATTTAATAGTTAAATTTTAACTGACTTATGCAGATTTTTCTTAGTCTATACCCTAATTTATGAACTTTTACAAAAGAAGTTCTACTTCTTTAACATAAATGACATCACACTATTGGTTTTTATGTTTTACTAGGATGCCATTTTGAAATTTACTATTCTAATATAACTTACAATTATACACGAGATTCTACTTATCTTTTGTCAGAAATGAAGACTTTTTTTTTTTAAGAGACATTTTTGCCATAGAGTGCGTGTGCTTGCCAGAGAGACAGAGACAGAAAGCAAGAAATCACCCCCCAGGGGATGGCCATGCCACAGTCCCTTCTTCTCCATTCTCTTTTTGGGATTTTTGGGCATGCACACATGCCCAGCATGAGTTTTAAGTTGCTGTGTCCGGGACTCAAACCACAGCTGATTACATGGGAGATCAGCAATGTAACTATGATGCCATCTGCTTGTCCCAGAAATGAAAGCATTTTTTTTTTTGGAGAGGTTTTTGTTACAGGGCACGTGCGCTTGCCAGACAGAGACATAGAGACAGAAAGCAGGAAATCACCCCCCAGGGGGGATGGCCATGCCACAATCCCTTCTCCTCCATTCTCCTCTCGGGATCTTGGGCACGCATGCACACGCGCCCGGCGTGAGTTTAAGCCACCGGGTCTGGGACTCGATCCGTGGTTGACTACATGGGAGTCCAGCGACATAGCCATTACGCTAACTGCTGGTCCCTAAATGAAAGCATTTTTAAATTGCACATTTTCTGTGCGAATAGTTGCATTTTCACCTTACTATCCTGGGTTTTAGATTAAAGAAAAGATATATCACTACTAAATTAATTGTCGCTTTTTTTTTTTTACCCATTGTTTTCATAGGGCAAATATGCTTGCTAGAGAGAGACAGATAGAGAGACAGAAAATGTGAGAAATCTTACTCCCAGGAGAGATAACCACACTGCAATCGCTTCTTCATTTTCCTCTCAGGATTTTGGGTTCACGCCCAGTGTGTTTTTTAAGTCACCATGTCTGGGACCCGAACTGCTCAGTTGACCATGTGGGATCCAGCTGCCAATCACCACACCACTGACTATGCAAAGTTGTTTTATCAGTACCTTTTTTGGGGGGGTGCGAGGATAGGTTTTTGCTATAGGGCGTGTGCACACACCAGGAAGACAGAGACAGAAAGCGAGAAATCATCCCCCAGGGGGGTCGGCTACGCTGCAATTCCTTTTCCTCCATTCTCTCGGGATCTTGGGCACACAAGCACACGCACTGGGCATGAGTTTAAGCCACCAGGTCCGGGACTTGAATTGCAGTTGACTACGTGGGCGTCCAATGACATAGCCATTATGCTAACTGCTGGTTCCGTGGTACCATTTTAAAGTATGTCTTAAGACTGACAACTCCTTATATTTAATTCTTTGTTTTTTCTCTTTTTGCTTTTGCTTTAAAGTAAATTACCATAGAGGTACAATCTCTGTTAGAAATTAGAGTTAAAATATTTTCTATTTTGTTTTGTTATTGCTGTTTAAACAGGCTTTCGTTGAAAATAATCCTGCCATTAAATGGTGTCCTACTCCAGGCTGTGAAAGAGCAGTTAGACTAACAAAGCAAGGGTCAAATACGTCTGGATCTGATACGCTCAGCTTCCCATTGCTAAGAGCTCCTGCTGTGGACTGTGGGAAAGGACATCTATTCTGCTGGTTAGTATAAAACAAGTTCAAGTCAGCTAATCAAGTTTCTGTTTTGAAAGAGATTTATACTTTGAGTCAGAGCTTTAAACATTAAGTATTAAACTACTTGATATTCTCCTCATTGACTTAGAAATGTAATTGTAGTTGTCATATTTATCATGTGTTTTGATGTGTGCCTGCTGTGCCAAGTATTTTTAAAGTATTGACTTTTCCCACAATAATAGGAGTTGAGTGCTGTTGTTATGTCCATTTTACAGGTAAGGAAGCTCAGAAACAGAGACGTTTCCTAGGGTTATGCACCTAGATGTTGCAAATGGAATTAGACTCCAGCTCTGTTTGATTTCAAGTCTATTCACTTAAAACTATAATAAGTTGATGATCATAGGTTAGAAAATGCTTAGAGTTTAACTTCTTTTCTTTAGATATAAGCCTCTAACAGTGAATCTTAACCAGGGGTGCCCAGAACTACTATGGGATCTTTTCCACATTTACCCTGGTCCCCAACAAGTAAAATTTTGATTCAGTAAGTTTTTTGTTGTTGCTGTTTTTTATTGCCACAGAGTGTGTGCACCTTCTAGAAAGAGAGGGCACTCCCCAATGTATTGGGGGTCACACTAAAATCCTTTTCTTCCCTTTCTACTTTCCATCGGATTAGGATTTGTAGTGTGCATGCAGCCAAGCCTGGCATGTTTCTCAAGCCTCTGTGGCTGGGGTTCAAACCACAGTCAGCTATATGGGAGTGGTTCCTAGTGCACAGTGCTTAACTGCATTGCTACAGGACTAACCAATTTAGTAGGTTTTTTGGTTTTGTTCTTTTTTTTGAAGAATTTTTTTGCTATAGGGCATGTGTGCTCACCAGAGAGACAGAAATCGAAAAATCTCCCCCCAGAGAATGGCCATGCCATAATCCCTTCTCCTCTCAGGATTTTGGATGTTCATGCATGCACATGTGCCCAGCATGAGTTTCAAGCCACCAAATCCAGGGCTTGAACCGGGGTCTGCCATGTGAGAGTCTAGTGCCTTAACCACTTTGCCACCTGCTTCCCTTCCCACCCCCCCCATAGGGTTTTTGTTTTTTGGTGGTTTTTGTTTTTTTGTTTTTGTTTTTGTTTTGAGAGAAAGAGATTTTTGCCACAGGATGAGTGCACTCAAGAGAGACAGAAATCACCACCACCACCACCCTCCCAGGGGGATGGCTACACCACAATAACCCTTCCCCACCAATCTCCTCTCAGAATCTTGGGCACACATGCACACACACCTAGCATGAGTTTTAAGCTACAGGGTCCAGGACTTGAACCGCAGCAGACTATGTGGGAGTCCAGCGACAAAACCATTATGCCATCTGCTGGTCCCCCAGTAGGTTTTTAAGTCTGGCTCTAAAAACAAAAAGCTCCCAGGTGATTCTAATACAAAGTCATACAAACCTGCATCTAGTGACTGCAGGTTTTCTGTGTCTGGTATTTTGTTTACTTCCTAGTGCCTGATTATTAGGAAATGCTTTAGTAAGTATGAACTGAAGATAAATCCACAATAAACAGGATTTATATTATCATTTGACTATGTATTTGTGAGCCATCAGTATTTTTATTTGTTTAGATTGGATTCAATTAACTTTTTTTGTTTTAGTTAATCAAATTATCTCAGGGGCCAGCCCTATCGTACAGTGGTTAAGTGTTATGAATAGAGAACTAGATCCCATATGGCAACCTTAGTTCAAATCTTAGCCCCAAACATCTTGAAAAACACGCCACGTGTGTATGTGCCCCAAAACCTGATGGGATGGAAAAACAGGAGAAAAAGGATTGCAGTGTGATCACACTCCATTAGAGTTCTTCCCCATCTCTCTTAGTCTTTCTCCAGCAAGTGCACATACTCTCTCACAATTCAAACCAAACAAAACAAATTTCTAGTTTTTACTTTTATAATGATTAGAAACCAAAGTCTAATTGTGGCACTGCCAGATAATATTAAAGGTATAGTTCTAGAACTGTCCTGCCCTGACAAGTATATTTATTTGTTTTCATCATCATTAGCTGAACATAAATATCTTGCATTACCAACCTATGTATGCCTTCAAACTCTAAGTCAAGGGTCGGCACACTGTCCACACTTCTTTATGAAAATAAAACTTTGTTGACACATACTACACCCTTTTATGCCAATTTATGCACAGTCTGTGTCTGCTTTGGGGATATGACTGCAGAATTGAGTAGAAATGGCACAACCCCCAAAACTCCAAATATTTACCATCTGGCATTTACAGAAAAATTTTGCTCATCCCTTCACTAGGTACTCGGATAATGGATTAATGAAATGAAAACCATGCTTACTACTTTCATAATTAAATCAGACTAAGCAAGTAAAATAGCAAACAAATACTGAACAATAGGGATAACTTCATGCCTTAGGGTAATTTTTTACCAAATTTAAAAGATAAATTCCTAATCTTTAAAGTTTTTAGTTTTATTATTTAGTGGTTGGTGTTGACTCTCTCACTATCCTACCATAAAAGTTAAGGAGGCTTGAGCTACAGAAATGAGAAGGAAGTCAATGAATGCACATGACCTTAATTGTTAGTAAATAAATGGTATTTAGATTAATATGAACCTACTTTACTATAAGATAAAAATAATAAAGGGACCAGCCCTTAGCGTAATGGCTATGTAGCTGGACTTCCATGTAGTTGACTGCAGTTCATGTCCCGGACCCGGTGGCTTAAAACTCAGGCCAGGCATGTGTGCGTGCGTGCCCAAGATCCCGAGAGGAGAATGGAGGAGAAGGGATTGCGGCATGGCCATCCTCCCGGGGAGTGTTTTCTCGCTTTCTGTCTGTCTCTCGTGAGCACACGTGCCCTATAGCAAAAACCTCTTTAAAAAAATAATTTAAAAAATTTTTTAAAAATAATAATAAAGTAAGAAACTGCTTACTCTTCTCAGTCAGTGTAGGGTTTGTTGGGAAAATTAAGCTCTAGGGTCCTTAGTCCCATTGTGCATCTTATGCATCCAGAATGGTACTATTATATACCATCCTTAAGAAAATTGAGAAAAATAATCACATAAATTATTTTCTGTGTTCTCTGAGATGAGGAAGCTGGGCTGAGGCTAATTTAGAAGATTGGTTGGAGAGGCTACAAAGAAAGGAACATGAATTAGTAACACGTCTAGAAGGTGAAAAGATAATATTTGCTGAAGTTAGAGAAAAGTGAAGAGTTTTTCATTGACATAAAATAAACATAAATATTTGTGGGATATCTGATTTTGCAGTACAAGAATACAGTGTGTGAGCCAGCCCCACTGGGCACCTATTAAACCCTGTGCACTGGGAACCAGATGCCACCTGATTGACAGAAGGCTTAAAGGGCACTCTAGGCTCATGCGTGTTTGTACCCAAGATCCTGACAGGATAGAGAGTTGGAGGAAGGGAGGTTGTAATGTGACCATACCCCACTGGAGGGTGCTTTATTTCTCTTCTCCTCTCTCTCTCCTTCCTTTTCTCCCTCTCTCTCTCATGTACATACCCTCTGGCAATTAAAAAAAGAATACATTGTATAATGTTTAAATCCAGATCATTAGCATCTGTATTATCTCAAACAAAAGTAAAATTTTGGAGAGAAAACAAAAACCTGTGATTGACTTGTCTTAAGCTCTATGGGTTCTGTGGTCTGGATTTTAGTAGTTTTCACTGCAGTTTACTCTTTTCATAGTGTATAAGAGACTTGACTATAATCAGAAATCCTAACTAGAAACACTCACTTTTTTCTGCTGCCCTTATCTCTTATTTAAATAAGAAGGAAAATCTGCTCATGCAAGGGGAAGCTTTGCAAGAGAAATCTTTACCCAAAAAAGGCATGTGATTCTGACTTTACTTCTTTCCTCAAAAAACTTAGAAGGGTGCTTTATTTCTCTTGATTACAGAACCTGCAACTCATGGCAATAATATAGGTTGGGGATCTTTAATCCAAAAAATCTGAAATCCTCAATGTTCCAAAATCTGAAATTTTCTGTGTGCTTACATGATACCACAAGTAAGAAATTCCACATCTGACTTCATGCGATGAGTCACAATCAATGCACTGTAGTACAAAAATATTGTATAGAATTACCTTCAGCTGATGTGTATAAATGTTTGTGAGACATAAATGAAATTTCTCGTTTAGGCTTAGGTCCTGTCCCCAGCGTAATTCACTATGTCTATGCAGATGTGAAACACATCTGACCCTAAGCGTTTCAGATAGAGATACTCAACTGTAATTTTTTCTTTTTAAGAACTACATGTGACAGACTCAGTTGAGCCATGCCTTGATATCAAGAGATATCTGCCTTGATATAACAATACACTCATTGCTGGGAGAGAAGGTAATAGTAGGCATTCCCTTCCTGTACAGGTAGCCCATTCTGCTGTAACTGGCTCACCAGCAGGTTCTGTGCCCTTTTTAACTGAACTTAGGATTTTTCTGTCCTGCTAGCCTTTATCATTGCAATTTGTCTGATGTGAGCAAAATTATCTCTGGAGGGTATTCAAAGCCTGGATGGACTCTGACTTGAGCCATTGACCTTTTTCCCTGTTTTTCTTTGTATTAAGTAGACTATAGTGATATGTAACTTCTCTGCCCTCTGAACTGACACAAAGTCTCTCTCTCTCTTTCTCTCTCTCTCTCTCCCTCTCCCTCTCTCTTTCTTTTTTCCCTCTCAATTTTAACTTGCTAAAGGGTATGTGCACTGACCAGAGAAAGATGGGAGAGGGAGTAAGAAAGCAACCCCCATGGGGGATGGTCATGCCACAATCCCTTCTCCTCCATTTCCCCTTTTGGGAATTTGGACATGCGCGCGCGTGTGCACACACACACACACACACACTCACCTGGCATGTTTTTCAAGCCACTGTGTCCAGGACTCAAACCATGCAGTTGGCCATATGAGATCTAGCCATCTTAACCACCATGCTACCAGCCAGCCCCAAAGTCTCTCCTCTAAGATGAATCTTGAAAATTTGTTGTCAAAATACTT